TTTTTTTTTTTTTTTTTTTTTTAATGTTTGTAATTTAACTCGATCATTGCTTTTTTCTTTTTTTAAGATCTCACTCAGTTCCTTCTAAATTTCAACAGCGTCAGCAATAAAACAGCTATTTCCCTGCATTTTGTTCAAGGCTGCCGAAATAGGCTTCAGGGTACTCAGCATGTGTTCATTTCTCTTAAGCCCAGTGTTGAACTTTGGCTGTGACAGTGCCATCTATTTTTTCACAATTTTGTTCACAAACTGTCATCAAATTAGGCCAGTTCTTGATATAGTGCTCAAAACAGTCTACTACTGAGTTCCAGCCCACATCTTGTGGGAGGAACCAAGCTAACTCTCCCACTTTTTTTTCAGAGCAGCTGCTGCAAAGTGGTTGTTATGGAAGTGTTTTGCAATTTCAACAACATTAGCCTTCATTTCTGGAACACTGAAGTCTTTGGCTAGGAGGTGCATCAAATGAGCACTGCAACTGTATGTTATTAGCTTTGGACTCTCTTCTAAATAATCTCTTATCATCTTGGATACATTTGCAGCATTGTCTGTGACCAAGCTGCGTACTAGACGTCCCCCCCCCCGCTCCCTCCCTGCTGTTTCTTATAGCTTTTACTGCTACTTCTTGTAAGTATTCTGCTGTGTGTGCATTTCCTGATGTATCAATTGTTTCTGTAAGGAAGACATTCCCTTCTTCTGTTGTCAAACAAGCATGTACAACAGGATCATTGTGGACATTGCTCCATCCATCAAGACTCAGGTTAACAATTTTACCCTCTAGACCTTTTGCGCACTGCTCAATTTCTTTCATACACTTCATCCAGCAATTTGCCTGCGACATCTGCTCTGTTGGGTGGACTGTATCCTGGTCTTAGTGACTGAACCATGTTAATGAAGTGTGGGTTCTCAATCATACGGAAAGAAGAATTTGTAAACAAACTGGGCAATTTTTTCATCAATTACTACTTTTTGTAATCTGCTGGTTCTTATCACAAACTTATCTATGGTTGTTTCTGGATGATGGTATTTTTTTTTCTTTTTGCTACAGGTGATATATTGTGGCTATGTGATATACATGATGTGATTGAAACACTATCATTGGCAGATAACTCTGAAACTATAGAAAATGATGGTGATCTTGAAGGTGAATAGTCTTCAGAATCCTGTATGTTGAGGATGGATTCTCCTTAACAAAATAAGTCAATGCAGTTACTTAATTATTACCATACTGCTCATCTAGTATTACTCATTGCATTCACTGACACTCAGTACTACTTTAAAGGTGAAATTGTAAAAGGAAGATCTGCCTATTTCAGCTTCTTTTCCACAACTGCATCTAAAATGATAGTACCATAGAGTAACAACTATATTTTTTTGTTCAAACGTGGAAATTCAAGAATAGTCCAGAAGGAAGGCAGGCTGTTCTTAAGAAAGAAGTCTGAAATAAAAAAGTTTACCAACCTGAAGATCCTGCATGTTCCGACATGTTCCTTTCATCCTCTTCAACGCAGCTTCCTCCTGAGAAGGAATACTTCTCATGATGTTGTTTCATTTAAGCAACTAGGCCTTGCATTTATTTGTTGCACTGTTTGCATTTTGCACACATACCTGTCTTACCCACAGATAGAGGAACTTCATTAAAATATTCCCAAATTGGCTCTCTCTTACAGCCTGCTGCCATTATAGATTTTCCCTTCTAGTGAGAGAACGGTATGGTAGATTTCAAATCAATGAAAGCTACACTCAGAAAGACCTCAAGACCTCTGGAATATGCTGCTCAAACAGTTTCACTTTTGTTTCTACTGCCTGTCCCTCCCTTCTCACATTTATCTCTAAACATATTCTCCTTGTCCAGATCTATTCCGCCCCCAACAATCTTCTATCCATTGAACTTTTTGAAACTTTGTACTTTTAGAGAGAAGTAAGGGAATGACTCTGTGTACACAAATTTGCGGAGAGACAGTAGGGTTGAGGGCTGTTATTTCTCATCTCTATATATTATTTAAAAACATTTTTGCTGTTAACAAGCATGTTATCTCTGGAAACACAAATCCACAGTTTGAGAACTGCAAAAGGAAGCATCTCTGATGGTATCTTCTAGACTGAGCACTGAATCCCATTGGGTAAATAGACAGATTAACCTAAATAATCTATACAGAAGCCCCTGGAACCTCATAAAATTGGGTCCCTAATCCATGAACTATTGGAACTCATTTACATACCTTTTCTTAAACATTACATGAATATATTGTCGCATACTATAGAATTTATAATCCCTATTCCATGATGAGACAATATAGCTCAAAGATATTCTTAAATAAAACTATATTTAGATAAAATGCTTTTTGAGGAAAATCTGATTTAAATAAAAAATCCAATTCCCCCCCCCCCCCCCCCACTAAAAGTCATTGATTTTTATCCACCCTGGCTATTTATTATACTGCTGCTTTAAAAACGTTTCCATCAAAGCAGAGTGCAGAACCAATTCCATGTGACTTAGGTGACCAACCACACATAACAGAAACAAATTGCAATTGACTGAAGTGAACAGTTCACAACAACCCTCCATAGGCTGAACATTCTTCATCAAGTTTATTGATTATTTAGAAATAGTGAATAGATCAGTGGGAATCAGGATGGGTTCTTGAATGAGTCACTCAACAGAAATGGGTCTGAATTCAAAACAAGTATTACTGGCAATGAATAGTTTGACCTGCACTAATAGGGTTAAGACCCCAAGGACTGGTTCATGGACATCCACGAATATAACTAGTGTTCAAGATATTAATACTGCTACTTCTTAGCACTTGTATGAACTGCACATGGCAGATTTCAAGTTATTAGTGAGCTAGTGCCAAATGTGCAGAGAAGCTGAGCACCCACAATTCTGGTTAAAATCAGTGGAATTGAGGGTGTTGAGCACCTCTGAATATCAGGTCCTACTTGTCTCTAGTTGGGCTTCCAATGTTGGAGGCCCCAGAACTAGAAGCAACTCTTGAAAGTTTGGCCCATGATGTTTTTGGCCATAACAAACTTAGAGTCCACTCTCCATCTGAGACCAGTGCAGACTGTTCAGCAAGCCATTCCCATAGGTGAATCCCAACTAAGTCCCTTTCCTAGAGAACCCTCTCCCTGTTTAGACCCTGCTGCAGGCTTAAGTAGCTAACTCCCTGGGACAGTCCCAAGGAAATCCCATACAGAAGTAGTCTTCTTATGAACATTGGCAAGAGTTTCATTAATGACCTCTACACCCTGGGGATATTCCCAGAGCAGTGGCAGACTAAAAGCCCTGTCCTGGTGTGACATTAGTGCAGACTTCATTGATTGATGCTGTTCCTATACCTCCTCAATGTGTCTTTCTGTCTTTCACACCAAACCCAGGCAGCCTTTCTGCCATGCGCTTTATCACAGCCGTGGATATGACACAGCCACAGTTCCTGGAGCCTGTGTCCAGAGAGCTCTGGATGCGCATCTGGTTCCGGGTGAGTACTTATGCATATCCCCCGTCCAGCTCCTTTCCCCATCTTCCTGCCCCTCCTCTGCCCTCAGTCAAACATGTAGTAGGAGGATTGAAATCTGTGGTTCAGGGTCCAATCCAAGGAAAGCACTACAGTCCAAGTCAATTTCAGCTTCTTCTGTTCCTTTCAGTGTGTGGCAGCTGCACCAATAGTTAATTCCAGAATCCACATAATCCAGTTCCAGTTTGGGTGAATGGGATCTTTTCCTCTTTCCTGTGGGAAATTCTCCAATGGGATCCCTGCAGGAAGACAGGGTCACTGTGAGAAATTCTCTTTGTAGATTCAGCATCTTGTTCATAAACATTTAATCATTTGATTTCCTCCTCCTCCTCTCACCAGGATGAAGATATCACCCAACCAGAGAGTATATTGGCAGTAAGTTTCTCCCTGTTACTACTGCTTCTATATTCATTTGCTGTGATTTATTGGATGTGGGTCTTAGGGTTACCGTCTATGGAGGCAACTTAAATAATTTTCACTGGCTGTGGATTTTTTAAGGGATCATTTGGAGTTATCAGGAAATTCCCTTAGGGAAAATATGACTCCCATGTCAGTGACTCAATCCCCCAAGTCTGTGGAAATGTGGGGGTAATTTCCCAAGTAACTTTGGTGCATTTTATTGCCAGGCTTATGGTGGATATTTAGGTCACGGTGCCTTCCCTAGCAGGATGCCCCAGAATAGGCAGTGGATACACTATTAATTATATTTTAATTAACAGTAATAAAGCCAGGAGCAATGTTCAAGAGTGAGCTCAGGGAAGGGGATGGGTTTGCTTCTATAAAAGGTTTTTAACTTGAGTTAAAATTTGATTCTGAAGGCAGACTGTGGAGGGGACAGTGGTGGTGTGCCTTTCTTTGAAGTTGCTTTGGAATAGTGTCCATTCTTCTTTTCCTCAGTTCCACTGTCTGCATCCTGCCTCTTCTCCTTGTTAGATCTCTGGCTATAATGCAGAGATAGGCAGAAGGCAGTGTTCAGATTTGAACCACGATTAGTTTTGGGGTTTGTGTTTGAGGCCAAATCAAGGCCACAGTTCCAATTTGATCCCAAACTAGGATCTCATATTCTAGCCCTAGATGGTAGCCAAGTATTAGCCCCCACCTTAATTTTACAAATACTATTATTACTACTACTACTAATTTTATATAGCACTTTTCATCAGTATATCACAAAGCAGAGAGGTTGCACAAGATTATTTTAGGCAGTGTTAGCATGAGAATCCATATCAATGAAAGTCAGGCTATGTCTACACTGCCAAGTTTTTTCACCAAAAGTTATGCCACTTTTATTTAAGTGCTTTCATTAAACCGCTGTTGCATGTCCACACTGTGCTCCTTGTGTCGCCGGAGCACATCCAAACTAGCAGCTCTTGCAAAGACGAGAGCAGTGCACCGTGGGTAGCTATCCCACTGTGCAAATGGCTGGGTGCTTTGGGAAGGGTTTGCAGTGCCTCATGGTGCAGGTACAGTGTCACATGATGCAGGTTTCTTAAGCCCATTATTCCATAGGCATCCTAATAGGTTGCCAGTCACTTTTCAACTGAAGTGTGGAGGGTAGGGAGGTGTGTGTGTGTGTGGGGGAGACAGTGTGTGTTGGGGCAGAGTGAGTGTATCCGCATGCTGTCTCATAAATTCAGACAGCCGCCAGAAGCAACCAGTCCTGGGGGAGGGCGAAACCCAACATCAGCCCCGCCTCCCGCTCTGCGACACACAGAGACACACCCAACCGTGCCTGCCTGCCTCTGTGTTTAGTGTGGGAGACAGCAGGAGCATTCCATGTTAATGATTTGCTCTTTGTTTCCCTGGAGCAGAGCAGCACAGCGTGCTGGTTGTCAGAATGGAGCTTTGAAAGGGGAGGGGTGCATGCCTGCAGGGCTACTGAGTTCTAAACAATGAGCAGAGCAGTTACTTCAGGCATTGTGGGACACCTCCGGAGGCCAATTACAGGGATAAAAGCAAGCAAAGTGTTTACACTGGCACTTCGGCAATAAAACCTTTGCGCAAAAAGCCTCATCACTCTCATCTAAGGGCAGGTCTTCACGTACGGGGGGGGGGGGGGGG